GTATGTGGGCCCATTGATCGCTCAGAAGACGCCGGCTCGAACATAGGGCTCATCGGGCTCGCGTGTGATTTACATGTATGTATACATACTACATATATATACATATATACACATGGGGCTTGTAGGGCTGATAGGGCCTATGGGGCTCAGAGGGTAGGGCTCCCATAGGGCTTCGCGGAGGGTTCATGGGGCTCGCGTGGCCCATGGGGCCCACGACGCTTATAGTGCTCATGAGGCCTATGGGGCTCGTAGGTCTCGTGGGGCCTGTGTGTATATATGTATACATATATATGGATATGATTATGCATGTGCAAAAATAGCATATATGCAAAAGACTACCCATTACCCCCCTACTCCCCCCCCGCCCCGCCCCCCACCCCCCGCCCGAGGTCAGAGCGAGGGGGGGGGAGGGGCAAAAGGCGAGGGGGGGAATATGAGGAGGGGGGGCATTTGTTTGCGCCCATGTGCTGGCACTCGCGCGCGGGCGAGTCAGCGGATACATGGCGTGCTTTGCCGGTGCCAAAGCAGACTTGAAGGCTCGCCGGGAATCCAACTTTTTCACGAGATCTTGGCAGCGCACTTTGATTTGCGACCGGTGCGGCGCGCAGAACGTGAACCACGTGAAGTCAGACCCCGCAATGTGGTTCACCAACTTTAACGACAACGCGCCGCACCGCGACACTATGGTGAAACACCATGAGTATATGGCAGAAGTTTCAGCTAGACCTGGTGCGGCCTCACCGTTGAGCCAGATTCCTGGGTGGCGCATCGAACTCAACATGTTCGATGACGCTCGCAATCTGTTCCTGGGCACCTGTCGCGATATACTGCCGTCGGCTCTGGTCGATCTCATCCAAGAGGGATTGTTGGGGCCTGGGCGCCCCGACGACTTGCTGCTAGATCTGTGGGAGAGAGTGTTCACGTGGTGCAGAGATCGCAAGTTATCGTACCCGAAGGCGTCGGGCGCAAAGAGGAGGAGGGCAGCGAGGGAGAGAGGAAGGGGCAAGGAAGGAGGCGCAAAGAGGAGGGGGGGGAACACGCGGAGGAAACGAAATGACGACAAAGAGTGGCCGAGAGAGGGAGGGCACTAGGGAGGGCGGGAAAGGAGTGAAGGGGGGCGAGAGCGCGAGGCGAGGGTGGCCCTCATTCCCTGGCCCGCCGCCACTCCTCAAGGAGGGGGGGCGGGCCAAGGGTGAAGCGGGGGGCGGGGGGGGAATTTGGCTGCGCCGGCCCCAGGGCCCGGGCTTCAGCTTGGCCTCGTTCGGGAAGGACAGCCTCCACTGCCAGAGTTACCCTGAACTGAGCAGCTCTTTCAAAGCCGCGAGCGTTAAAACTATGATTTTTTTCGCGCGCCACCTCTGCGAGGAAAAATGCAGCGGGGAGCCCAGGAGCCGCACTAGGGTCTTGCTTCTCACTGCTCTGTCATCATATTTATCTATTCTAGGAGAGCACGGCCCGATTCTCACCCCTGAGGCTGCTTCGAAAGCGATGCGGCTCGGCAAAACAATGCTGAAATGTAACGCTTGGCTTTTTGCAGACAGCTGCATGAAAAACCGTTTTGTTTGGAGGCTCAGGCAGAAAGATCACTACTGGGATCATACGTTGTCTGAGCTCCCCTTGTGCAGGTTGAACCCAGCGTGGTTTGACACCCTCCGCGAGGAGGACTTTCTTGGCAAGTTCAAGAAACAAGGTCAGAAGACCGACCCTCGAACATCATCTAAATGAATGTACATGGGACCGCCTCGTCCGTCGCCCCTCCCCCCCCCCCCCTTTTCCCAAAACCTTACATGTGTTTCCTCGGGGGCAGGGGGCAAGGGGCATCAATCTTGCTCTCGCGGCCTTTCTGGCCCCGCGGGGTCGGCGGATGCTCAAGCGAGCCCTGTTGCATTTAGGGCGGCGGTGGAGCGAGAACAGATTCGCCTGCCGACCTGCTCGAGATCGTCGCTGACGCCGATGGGGATCAGGCGTCTGCGGCCCGAAAAGTACGTGGGAGTGACTTTTCGCCGGAGTGACCTTTGGCGCGGGCCGAATGGGCCCCCCGGAGTGCGGAAAACGAGGCAGAACATCGGTTTGCGCGCTTGCTTTTGGCCCCCCCCGCGGCCCCCCAAAAACTGCGCACCAAAGGTCGCTCTCACCCGGGGCCACTCTTGCGCGCGCCGAAAAGTTGAAGGATAAGGACGAGGACGATGAGGAGGAGGAAAGAGGGGGGCGGGGGAACGGGGGGAGGGGGGGGAGGAGGAGGAGAAGGAGGAGGACGAGGAGGAGGAAGAGGAGACCCCTCTCTGTCCAGGGAGGCCGTCGACAGGACAGCGAGCGCCCTGCTGCCTTCGGCAAGTCCCACCGCAGCAATCCTCGTAGATGTTTCTTGGGTCTCTGCTGGCATCTCTTGGGGGGCTCTTGGGCGGGCCTCCTGAGGCAGCTTGGGGGTCAGTTGGGGCCTCTTTCGGGGTTGCATCCTTGGGGGCCTCCAGCTCGGTGCTTAAGGGGTTTCTTAAGGGCCTCCTGGGGCGGCCTCTTGGGGGCTTCTCGGGATCGAGAGCTCGAAATGCAATTTCGGGCCCCCCGTTCGAGCCCCCTCTTAGAGCTATGCGCCGGCATGGGTGCTGATAGGGCCGCCTTCGGGCCCTTCTGATCCTGGAGGTGTCTTCGGCTGTTTTCGGGGCGCCGTGCGGCCGAAAAGACGAGAACCCCCACGTCCATCAAACAGTATGGGGCATCAGTGGCATTTGTCTTTGGGTTTCTGGGAAGCATCTTGGGGCGCATCGGGGTTTGTTTCGGAGGCGTGTTTGGCAATCTCGAGTCCGCGGCCGCGCTGCAGGGGTCGCCGTTTGATCAGAAACCCTGCCGGGCAACCCGAACCACAAAGCGATGATCAACCATTCCTCCTCTTCCTGTTTGTCCTCCTTCTCCCCCTTTTCTCTCTCCATGTGATTCCCTGCGTCGCGCGACAGTGGCCGCCTCGAAATATGAATATCCATCCCGTTTAAAACACATGGGGCGGCAATGCAAAGACGCGACATGAATGTAATGTTGCACATGATACATCTACAATGTGTATGGAAATGGTTGCGTAGAGTCTATGTATATATCTATAGCTACACACATGTAAGTGCATATACACACATATGCGCGTATAATTTCAATTGTCCACGCATATGTATGTACATAGACACAGCTATAACCATATATACATAGAGATAGTATACATGTATATACATATACAATTATATGCACATACATTTTATACCAAGACAAACTAGCCGAGCGGATTTGAAAACTTACCCATGTATGCCTTTAGGCGGTATGGCCTTGTTTTGACGAAAGCGATAGGTTTCCAAAGCACGTGCATTGGTCTCCCTCGGTGCTTGGGCGCATGGTTGGTGATTGCACGTGCTACAACAAGGCCACAGAGGGCGTCTTTCGGCCAGCTCTTGACGCGGAGTCGGTGCTCCAGCGTGCCGTGGGCAAGGGGTACCGCGCGACTCTCGATTGCGTTTGAGGGCACAGTGGTGTTGAAAACGACTCAGAGACAGCTCTGGGGCAGACAAGCATCGCTTTTTTGCGGCATGTATATTTTTTGCCGCCTTCAGTTTGGGCCGAAGCAGGCGCCGGCCATGTACCAGCACGTCCAAGAGAGCACAATCGGACCAGAGGACAAACGTACCAGCGAGAAGCGGGCAGACGTCTTCTTCGACGACACGCACGTCTCCGATTGGACTTTGGAGGAGCACATCTCGTCACTACTTCAAATCTTGGCGCGAGCGCGAGGCAACGGCATACAATGCAGACTGGAGAAGCGTCGATTTGGATTCACCGAGACGTTGCTCATATGTGTTATTGTTGGTGAGAACGGTCGTCGCGCTGATCCTGCCAAAGTTGACCAATTACGGGCATGGCCTGAGTGCCGGAATGGCAGCGACATTATCTCTCACCTTTCATTTTGCCAATGCCTCCGAGCGTTCTTTGGGCCGCTGTTTTCAGAGAAATGCAAGCCCCTGGGGAAGCGCGCCAAATGTGGCGGAGATTTCACGGGCTACGCAGCGGACGCGGAGGCCAAGGCATCCAGAACGCGGTTTATCGAGACGCTGCTCGAGCAGGTCGTTTTGGCCACGCCGGACTGGGAAGCAGCAGCGCGGCCCTACGAGAGCGGCAGACCATTCGAGCTGCAGTTGGACGCAGGCGATGTCGCGTGGGCCGCTGTTCTGTGTCAGCGTGACTCGCCCGGCGGCGCGGCGCGAGCCGTCGGGGCGGTCGCTCGTTCGTTCGAGGACGTGGCCACGAGGCGGTCAGCTTTCGAGCGGGAGTTCCTTGCGCGGAAGGAGGGCGTCGCCGCGACGTCAAAGTGGACCGAGGGTTTCGTTGTATTCACCTTCTTCGGCAACGAGAACATAGGACGCGCTGAGTCTGCGTTGAAGAACCGCCGAGCGACCAAGAAGCTGATGGCTTGGGTTGCCGAGGCGCAGGACACGCTTGCGAGCGCGCCGCGTGCGTGGATCGCTGGGAAAACGAACGCCCTCGCCGATGCCGGCAGCAGGGCGCCATGGCAATCGTGCGTTTGGCTATCCCCGCGTCGTCGGCCAGGCCGATTCGGGACTTCATCGAGAAGCTGTTCGCCCGCCCGGGCGACCTGCCGCAGAAAATCGAGCAGCGAAGACGGGGCATGGGATCTTGGGCTGCTGTGCCGCCAGACCGCGGAGCACAGCAGGGTGACGAACGCCCTGTTCGTCACGACGCCATTTGACGGTTGTCCGGCTTCGCCCCCAGAGCCTGCGGAGCGGCCGCCAGCGCCTCGACGACCTCCATGGTTCGCAGGCGCGGCGCCCGTCGTGGAGGAGGAGCCGCCGCGGGCGCCGGCTGGCCACCAAGTGCCCCCTCGACCTCCTGGCGGGCGCGCCGGGATGGACGGTTCAGCCCGCTGCCGCAGCGCCCCTCCGACCGCCTGGCGGGCGCGCCGGGGTGGGCGGAATTCAGGCCGCCGCTGGGGCGCCCCCCCGGGCCAGACGGGGTGCAACAGCTTGCCGCGGAAGCGCCTGATCGCCTTGACGGCCGCGACATGCCGGTGCTGTCTACGCCGAGCTCACCGACTACCACGGAGACGCTGCTTTCCGACATCCCTGTGCGCATGGAGGAGCACACGGACCGCGTGGTTGCGCAGCTCAGGCGGCGCGACCGGGACCTCGTGGACATCGGTGGGACGTTCGGCAAGCACTTTTTGGAGGTGGGCTCCGGCGACGAGATTTTGACGCGGTGCGTCCGCGAGAAGGGCCTCAGCGTGATGGACCTCGTGGACAAGAAGACTGGCTGGGATTTGACACGCCGTTCTGACATGCAGCGTCTGCGCACCATGATCAGGTGGCTTTTCGTATCTGTCGAAGCTCCTTTGGGGGCATAGTTGTGCCGTCTCAGGGCGCGCGCGCGGATTCGCGCGACGCCTGGTTTCTTCTTCGTGGACCTCGACGGGCGCAGGCGCGGCATGGTGGCCACAGCCACGGACGCGTTGATCCGGAAGTCTTGGAGATGGTTGACCAATGCGCCTTGGCTGTAGCTTCTGGCAATGCGGTGCACGGGGGGCCGCGAGCATGCGAAGTTGGAGGGGCGTCTGACCGCGGCCACGGCCACGCACCCGCGGCATTTTGGCGTTGCTTACGCCGCGTGCCTCGCTAAGGCCCCAGAGTCCTTGGCCATTCTCCGCGCCGCGCTCGCGCCTTACCGCCACCAGATGCAGGACGTCCAGGTGATGCGGCGCAGGGCGCTCGACGGCACGCATCCTGATTGGCCGTTGGGCGTGACCACTGGCGAGCTCGATGTTTCCAGACGGATGGCGCCCATGCGCGGGGCAGAACGCCACCAGGGTGCCGACGCGGACGAGATCTACGCGCGCCAGCGCGAACACCTCGCTGCCCAGGAGATCCCGGCGACGAAGGTTACATGCAAGTACGCGCGGGGCGGCAGCGAGTTCTACGCCGCTCATTCTCGAGATCCTGTTTTCCACATTCGCGACGGCGCAGTAAAGCAGACGATGCGTTTTTCTGCTTACGGGGAACATCACCGGGAGATCTTGGGGAAAGGCAGAGCAGCCGGATTGGCTTTCACCGCTTATGCGGCTACACGCGGAGGCGGTGGATTCGGCAGGTGTGGCGCTGGGGTCGCGATGCCTACGGGGCGCCGCGGGGGCGCGCGGAACGAGTTCGAGGTCCGGGGCGTCGACCACGTGAGTCTCTCGAGACGTGGCGCCCCGATTTCGTGACATTTGTCCCCGAGGACGTCTATTGTTGAAACGCCATTGCGGTGCGCGAAGAGCCTGGACTTGCTCGTTGCCGTTGCCTTGGGCGCCCAGTCGGCGAGCCGGAGCTGATGCACCCCAATGTCCTTCCTGAGCGGATGGTTCGACTTGACGGCCCCGGGCGAGCCGCGATGAGATCTTTTACGATTTGCGCGACGAGGTGGAGAAGTTCGCCAAGGCCCTCACCGAGTCCGCCGACGCGCGCGACGGTTTGCGGTCTGGCCGCCTTTTTGGTTACCGGGCCGGAGTCTTTCTGGAGCCATCGGAGACCACGGAGAAATTGTTGAACCTGGCTCTACGATATTTCTGTCAGGAGACAATTGGGCGGACCAGAAGCCAATCGCGGCCGTCATCGTGTACAGGGACATCAGGCAGCTCGACGCTTCCGACTGCAAGTGCACCGGTCTTTTGATGTGGGAGTTGGAATTCGGCATCGTTGGCGAGTATCATATAGGCGACGCTTGGCTGCAAGGCTAACGACGCATCGTGACTTTCGAGCCGTGCCATCGCGTTGTCTTTCGGAATGCCAGCGCGGTCGTCGAGTACACCTGCGAGGACGGCGAAGCTTTCGGTGATCGCCGGGGGACGCTCGAGAGACTGGGGTTTCCAGTGCCGTTGCCCTTGTGGATCGTCGGATTCAGCGGAGCCTTGACAGCGCTCGAGGTTGACAGGGGCGCATTGCTGGCCATGTACAAGACCGGGCCGAGCTTGAATCTCTTCAGCCGCATGCTAGTCTTACTCTGCTGGATGCGGTCGTGGCCCGGAGGCCCAGACGTTGCCGAGTGCCCCCTACTGGTGGGGCCAAGTTGGACGAAGTCAGCTTTCGCGTGACCTTCTGCTTGGACGACGACGACAACCTGACGTTGGAGAAGTATGAGGTTGGTGGCGCGGCAGCAACGACGA